TGAAACAAGCTTGTTCCCTAACTTGAACTAATAAATAAATAAATAAATAGATAAATAAATAAAATCAGTTCCTTTGCTGGATGGTGGTGGCATATAACCTTTAATCCCAGTACTTTGGAGGCAGAGACAGGGGGATGTCTGTGAGACGGAGGTCAGCCTGGTCTACAGAGCTAGTTCCAGGACAGCCAGAGCTGTTACACAGAGAAACCCTGTCTCCAAAAAACAAACAAACAAAAAACCAAAATCAGATCTCTTATCTTTTCATATCCAGGGAAAGGAGAATAAAACATAGGATATTTGAATGTCTAGGAAATCGTTGAATTTCTCAAAAAGAAGTGGATTTGAACCAGCCCTATGCCCAGGGCTGAGACAGTGCCTGGCAGTGCTGAGAATAGAGAGGCTCTCAGCACATATGAGTGAATCTGAGTTGGAATTAGATGAACAGTGAAGAGGGAGGGGGCATAGTGCCATGTGAGTGGTTTGCCTGAAAAGTGGAGAAAAATCTCTTCTGGGTTATAAAAAGTATGCGGCAGTGACACGCAGCAACACTTAACCTTTCTGAAGTACTAATTATTTAGTTTGTAGTTCATTGTTGTTTAGTATTTGTTTCAGTCATAACTTCATAGTTCAATTAGTGTTTTGCTAACATTTATTTTATACTTATAGAATCACCATGGAGAAACTCTATGCAGTTTTTACAGATTATGAACATGATAAAGTAGGTATACCTTAAATTTGTTTGACAGACTTTTGTTGTAACTCATACAATTGTGTTTGTGCATGTGAGTCTTTTATGTCTTTATGAACTCTCTGGCCAGGACTGGGGATGAGGCTCGGTGGTAGAACAGTTGTCCAACATTCATGAGGCCCTGTGGTGGGTTGGCAGCACTGCAGAGAATAAATAAATCTCTAACAAAACATTAATAAAGCAATTCTCCTTTGAGAGCTCATACCCACGTCCTATGTGTGTCTTGCATCCTTTCTGGTACCTTCATAATCGCTCACATTTCTTTTATACAGCTAAGTCAAACCCTACCTGTTTGTTTGTCTATTCTTTTGTTAATAATTTTAAGGAAATGTGCAAATATAATTTAAATTAAATCAGATTTTAACCTGTAAGGAAGGTTATTGTTCTTACAGTGTGCTATTTGTGTAGCATTGAAAATGGGAAATGAGAATGTTTCATATTTATACCCTAATATCAATGCTGTTATAGATTTCTAGAGATGAAGCAGTTAACAAGATAAGACTAGATACAGAGGAACAACTAAAGGGTAAGTTCTGTTTTCATTTTTAAAGAGGTTGAAAGAAAAACATTGATTTGCTTTTTAAAAACATAGACTTGTTTTCAAATATCAATGGTAAGATCTTGAAAACCTCAATTACTCTGTTAGTTCCTCAGTTTTATCTTATATCTGTAATGATGATAGACCATGTGGTGACAGTCATGTTACCTTCTAGAAGTGTGGCTAACACTTGACTTGAGTAGACACCTAGTAAATAATGAACGTAAAATGTTCCTTTCTTCTCTGCTTCAGGATCTTAATGTGCTAGTCCTGTAGCCTACCATTTGAAAACCTAAAAAATATTCTTTAAAATTCTTGAGTCAAAAAAGAAAAAGCATCTGGGCACGGTGGTGCACACCTTTAATCTCAGCAATCAGGAGGCAGAGACCGGAGGATCTCTATTGGTTCTAGACTGCTCTGACCTGCATAGTTCCAGAACAGCCAGGGTTATATTGAGAGAACCTGTCTCAAAAATCAAGAAAAAGAAAAGAAAGGAGAAGAAAGGAAGGGAAAAAGAAAAGATTACAGGTTGAGGATATAGCTCAGTGCTAGAGTGTTTGGCCAGCATGCATGAGGCCCTGTGTTAAATCCCCAATACTAAAAACAAAAAACATTTAACAATAAATTCTTGAGACTATCACCTGAAACATTATAATACCAATACTATCTGATTTATAGATATTGAATGAGTAAGTAATTTGCATCTATACCTGGCACATAGCCACCGTTTAACATGATGCTATTGCTGTTATTCCTCACATTGTCTGGAATCACAAGGGAGCTAACGCTCCACAAATCACTAAGCAGAGTATCTTACTGTATAACATCATTCTTGTAATAACTGAAATATGAGGAAAGACTGACATATAGTTCTTCATAATTTTCCACCAAGAAAAAAGTGCCCTCTTGTGGTAGTGCTTATCAGATTTTAAAATAAAAATTTTAATGTTGCATTTATGTTAATGCCATTACTTGTAATTATCTCCAAATACATTAGGCATTTTTAATTCTTTTTATCAAGAATAAGAAATTATGGTAAGCAAGATGGCTCAGTAGATAACAGTGCTTGCTGTTATCTGGAAGCCTGGAAACCTGAGTTTGATCACTGGAATTCACATAAAGGTGGAAGAAAAGAACTGATGCCATGCAGTTGCTCTCTGTCCTCCACAAGTATACCATGGCATGCATACCATACACATATATCATGCTTACATACACAGTAATCAAACAATCAATATGTTTTTTAGAGAATAAGAATTTAATCAGAGGTGGTGGTTCAGGCCTGTAATCCCAGCACCCAGGAAGCTAAGGCAGTAGTATTGTGAATTCAAAACCATCCTGGGCTATACAGCAAGACTCTGTCTTGAAAAAGCAAAACTAACAGAAGTATTCTGACCTGGGAGTGTGGCTTCATAGAAACCTGCTTCTCATGTGTGAACCGTGGGTTCTGCCCAGCCCAACCAAAAGAAATGCTTGTTGTATGATGAAGATATGTCTTTCAAATTACTTTAAAGTTAAGTGCATTGCTTAATAAAGCAAGAGACTGGTCCATGGTATTAGTTGAAGGAAATGCAATGACATTTAAAAGCATAAGCCTGTGAGGCAGGCAGATGTATATCATGTCACAGCTGGATGGTCTCTAGAAATGTGCTGTGTGATCTCAGGCAATGGGTTCTTTGTTTCTTTTTCTTATGGTCCTCCACTTGCTAGGCAAGCAGCCCATCACTAACCTTCAACCCCAGCCCCACTTTACTTCTATAAGCTTTTTCTTTCTTCCCTTTTTTACTAATAATAGACTTTTCCTTATAAGCTGTTATGATTGTTAGAGGCAGTCCAAGCAAAACAAGCCTGTAAAGAGCCTGGCTCAGGAAAATAGTTGGTCAATGGTAGCTAAAAAAGGCAGCTAGTAGGGGGCTGGAGAGGTGGCTCAAAGGTTAGGAGCACTGGCTGCTCTTCCAGAGGTCCTGAGTTCAATTCCCACTAACCACATGGTGGCTGACAACCATCCATAATGAGATCTGTTACCCTCTTCTGGCCTGCAGACATACATGGAGACAGGATGTTGTATTCATAATAAATAAATAAATAAATCTTAAAAAAAAAAAGGCAGCTCGTAGGGATTTGTAATCAAAGAAAATTGTTTCTCAGTTTGCAGATTAAATATCCACAAAGCAAAAGATAAATGAAGGCCAACTATTAGTTAATCCTCTTCATAATACAGGTATTGATCAGGTAACATGACAGTACCGGAATGGATCATCACGTGTCCTTCTGGTAAAATACACAAGCTAAATTCCTACGACTGGCATCAGAGCTTTTGTTTAATGTTCTTTGTTTGCCCGAGAACTAAGTGTTCCAACATCTCCCTTGGTTTATCCCCACAATACTTGATTTCATGCTGAGAACTTTGGAGAACTTATCTTCCCAAAGGATAAGTGTTTGATTTGTTTTGATTTGTCTCTTTTCTATAGAAAAATTTCCAGACGTCGACCAATTTGAGATAATAGAATCCTTCAATGTTGTTGCAAAGGAGATTTTCAGAAGTATTATTTTGAATGAATACAAAAGGTAAACATATCCTCCTGTGGTAGCACTGAAGCAGGTGCTGTGCCTGCAGGTTGCCTTGAAAGCAGCAGCTTACTTAAAGGAAGGAACTGGGGTGCACTCTATAAATGAGTACCTGTTGAGGGAACTGGTGTTCATCTTATAAGTGAGCACATGTTAACAAGTAGATGGATTCTGTGGCTGTGGTTCTCTCTTGATGTACATACAGATCACAGCTCCAGACGATGACTCAGTGGACTTAGATTGGAACTCATCTATTTATATTACTGTTTACAGTTCTAACAAGTTACTGTATGCAGCTAGTGTTGAGAACTTAATGGCAGATATAAAGATTGTTTCTAACTTCCTATATGGCTTTACTACTTTATTATAGGTGTGACGGACGGGATTTGACTTCACTGAGAAATATAAGCTGTGAGGTAGATATGTTTAAAACACTTCATGGATCAGCAGTATTTCAGAGGGGACAGACACAGGTAAAATATGTTTGAAAGTTACTTGTTTAATTATATCTGCAATGTAGATGCTATAAGTTGGGGTGTGTATGTATGTATGTATGTGTGTGGTGTATCCTTGTTTGAAATCAAGGAATCTCTTGTTTTTTTTATAACCACATTTGTTTGGAAAGCTGGACTGTGAGCTTCTACTGTCTCCACTCACTCCACATCTCTCCATAGGTGCACTGTTATTATAAATGTGTAGTACTGTGCCCAACTCTTTTTGTTTGTTTGGTTGGTTGGTTAATTTTTTTTTCTTGGTTTTTCAAGACAAGTTCTCTCTATGTAGCGTTAACTGGCCTGGAATTCACTCTGTAGCCCAAGCTGACTTCTAACTTACAGAGATCTACCTGCCTCTGTCCTGAGTGCTAAGATTGAAGGCATATGCCATCACTGCCTGACTTTTTGGGGGGAAAGGGGAAGACGGGCAGAGTCTAACTTTGTATTGTGTTTTATTTTGTTGTGATAGTGACACTGTAGCCAGGCTGGTCTGGAACTCACAACCTTTGCTTTCTGAGTGCCTAGAGTACAGACATGCATCACTATGCATAGCCTCAATATGTTTTGTTTATTTTATTTTTCTTTCTTTTTTTTTGTGGTTTTTTTTGAGACAGGGTTTCTCTGTGGCTTTGGAGGCTATCCTAGAACTCGCTGTTGTAGACCAGGCTGGTCTCAAACTCACAGAGATTCACCTGCCTCTGCCTCCCAAGTGCTGGGATTAAAGGCGTGCTCCACCACTGCCTGGGATTTTGTTTTTCAAGACAGGGTTTCTCTGTGTAACAGCTCCAGCTGACCATGGAACTCACTTTTTAGTCCAGGCTGGCCTTGAACTCAGAGAGATCCACCTGCATCTGCCTCCCAAGTGCTGGGATTGAAGGTGTGTGCCACCACCACCTGACTCTCAATATGTTTATTGATATCATTTAAATAGTTTTAAGGCAGAATTTCAATTTAGTATACATTTTTAACACATAGAATTTTTGTGTATAGGTTCTTTTTATTTGTTTTGTTTTTGGAGTCCCTCTGTGTTGTTTGTGCTGTCCTGGAGCTCACTCGGCAGCATAGGCTAGCCACAAACTTGTGTTCCTCCTGCCTTGCTACTCTGAGTGCATGGCTTAACCTGATGCCTAAAATGTTTGATTTAATATGTTTAAATGCCATGATTAAAAGAATTAACATATTGGTACAGACCCATAGCTCAATGCTAGGAACCTCCCTATCACGTGAGAAGCCCTGGGTTCAGGCCCCAGCACCATAAAAAGAAAGTACACAAGCTTGATAAACTTTCAGCCACCTCCAAAAGTATTCTCCTGTGTCTTTGTAACTCCTCCTTCTTGCTCTTTCCCTCCAGGAAACTGCTTTTGTTGCTGCAAGTTTACTTCATTGTCCAGGGCTAGTGGGTATTTTAACTTTTGTTTTAATATTAGAACTAGCACAAAACTAAGTTACTTATTCTCCTTGTTCTAGGGTATATTGTCATTGTTCATCCATTCACGATCCTTGTTTGCTTTCTACAGTTACTGTGAACCTGTCATACTCTTTTTTTTTTTTTCTCCACATAGATAGATACCTGTTCTCTGATATTTGCATCAGTCCCACTGTTCACTTGTTCATTTACCCCTGTGTGCTCATTGCTTTCTGGAGGTATAATGTTTGATTTCTCTCTTTCTCACATTAACCACTATTTAAAACCTAGTACGTACACAGTTATATGTTGTTGCTTTCGTTTGTATTTCCCTACTTCCTAGTGAGAATCTCCTATGTAGAACCAGTGAGTGGAATCCCTATCTGAGCCACACCCAGGAAGACTGCACACCCTATTTTCATGCAGATCATCTAGAGTTCTGTGACCTGAGAAACTGGTTCAGATCAACTTCTGTCTTTCTGTCCAGATTTCTTGACCAGCTTTTGGGTTAATTTATTTTTTTATTCTTAATATTCCGTACAGTAATTATCTGCTGTTTTGCAGTTATGTCTTAGATGTTTTGTATGTTAATCCTTTTCAGTGACAAACCACACTGTATGCACATGACTTCATCTTTATCTTCATTTTACTTTTATTACAATAGCCTCTAGGTGTATAGAGTTAGCCTGTAAAATCTCGAGTTCTGATGTGGTTACTCCATTTCCTTTTTCCTTTTTTTTTTTTTTCTTTTTTTTTTTTGAGCGTCATTCCTTACTCCCAGAGTGACAAAATTATACACCTATTATTTTCTTTCTTTTAACTTTAAGGTATTAACTATTAAATTTAGACAGTTAATTTATCTTAGAATGTATTGCTGCGTATGGGTTAGAGTTATTTTTCCCACTAGTTTTTGATAATAACTTATATTCTAAGTTTATAAATACATTTTTAAACTATACTTTCTTCATTGTTTTGTGGATTTTCTGGGCCAATATCAGTTTCATGGTACATTGGTCCTTCATTTGAATGTGAGAATTAGAATTATGTCAGTTTCAAACAGTCCTTCTAGAATTAAATTGGAATTGCACTGAATTAAATATATTCATTTGAGAAAGAAATGGTAGTTGTAGTTTTACAGTTTGAATCAGTGCTTACAATGAAGATAGTGTCTCACCTTTGATTCATTTCTACCTGTGTCTGTCAGTGAAACATTAAAGATAGGTCCAGTTAGATGTTCTGGATACTTCTGTTACCTCTTCTCACAGTCTCTGCTGTTTAACTGGAGAGTGTGGTCAATTTATGCTCAATGTAATGACTAATGTGACCATATTTATGTCTGTTACTTCATTATTTGTTTCTCTTTGACACATCTCTTTTGTTTCCCTGTTCCTCCTGTCACCTTGGGTGTTTACTAGAATTCTGTTTTAGTTTTCTGTTTGCTTCATCGAGGCACCTATGCATTATTTCTCTGAGGTAATTAATTACAGGGATGGTAAAATCTTTGGTTTCTCTGAGTCTTAGAGTTAAAATAAGGAAACTTTTGGGCCATTTCCATGGATTTTCACCCCTTTGCATCCTTTATGCTCTAGTTGTGTTGAGTGACATCTATATGTGCCATACGTCCACACGGCAGGACTATAGCTTTTACTTTGACCAGTCATATGCATGTAAAAAAAAAAAAGAAAGAAAGAAAGAAAGGAAAGAAAGAAAGAAAGAAAGAAAGAAAGAAAGAAAGAAAGAAAGAAAGAAAGAAAGAAAAGAAAAGGATAGTCTTTTATTTTTATGCTGAACCACATATTTGCCATTTCTGGTATTCTTAATACCTTCAAAAATGTGTCAGTGCTACATCAAAGAAGAGTGTTCCTCCTGGAGTAGTTTAGATCAAGAGTGAGCCTAAGTTTGAATTCTCCACTTCCTGTGTCTTCCATCTGCCACTCTTGTCTGTTTCCAACAATGTACTTTGCTCTATACTTATTGAACAGCACAGAAAACATGATATGGGAAAGGAATGGAGAATCTCTTAATCAATTCATTACCAGAATTCACAAGGGAAGAAATTACATCCATGGTTGCCACATACAGTTATGGTGGGTACTTGTTTTCTTTAAGGTTGCTTTCAGCCTATTGGCCGCTGTTAGCAAATGACTATCATCACACACACACACACACACACACACACACACACAAAAAACTTCTCTTTTTAAAAAACTCTCTCAAAACACACACACACACACACACACACACACACACACACACACACACACAAAATTCTGGAAGACTCAGAAAGGAAAGACAACGAAGGCATAGTAAGGTTGATTACATTGTTTTCTTTCTTTTTTTTTTTTAAAGAGCTCTGGTAGTTTTATTAAAGGAGGGCTTTTCTGGTTTACTACTTCTCACTAGTCTGTTCTGGCATGCTTCTAATAATACCAGAGTCACCTGGGTCAATGATAGCCAGTGTGCATACTCTGTAGTATTTTCCACATGCTGTGCCCAATTCAGTGTTGTTGCCACTGTCGTGATGGACACCGGTTTTAGCCAACATGGCATAGTATTCTGTTTCAGATTTCCTTAAAGCCAGGCAGTTGTTGTCGAGGATAACCAATTGACTTTGCCCTGCCTGATCATCTTGAACGTCTGTTTGTAGCCCAGCATGTACTTCCCACTTTTCATAACAAGCTGGAGCCTAGAGTTGATAGACTCCAGGGACTTTTTGTCTTCTTTGCGGCCACCATCTTCCTGCCTTAGGTGTGGCACAGCCTCCAACCAAGAGCGGCCACCAAGATGGCTGGGGAGCAAGAAAGGAAGGACTACATTGCTTTCTTAAGGGCTAGTTAAACAGGCTGAATGCATGGTAGAGAAACAGATTGTGTACATAGTTTTAAATGGTCTCAAGGCCTATTATAGACTTGATTGTAAAGTTGAACAGAAATTCAGTTTCTGAAGACGAGGTATTTTCAGAAAAAGCTATTTTGACACCTGGAGATCTGAGTTTTCAGTAATATTTCCATCATTCTGACCAGACTAACTTTAGATAGACTCTTGTTTCTTTGCTAATCTGAAAATGCCTCTGTTTATTATATTTAGTTTTTTTTCTTGATGTAGAATTATGAATTGATTGTGGTGGGGGTGCTTTTTCTTTTTTGAGCAGTTAAAGATGTATTTATTGTTCTTTATCTTTTATCTGATAAGGACTCACTCAAACCATTCCTGTATATTAATGTTTTTATGTGAGTGCTGTCAAAATATGTTCTTTATCTTTGCATTTCAGCAGTATATGAAAAGGTGCTTTTCTTGGAATATGTCATACTTAGAATTTCAATCTGTGAATGTGTCCTTTCATTAAGCCTGACAAGTTTCAGCCATTATTTTTTCAGATATTTTTCCTGCGTCACTTTCTCTCCTGGAATTGCAAGTGCATGTGCCAGACTCTTTCATATTATCCTACAGGACCTGTGAATATGTTCCCTTCAGAGTGCATGACTTCCATTTTCCTTTTCATCCCCTTCTTTGCTCTCTCCATGTTTAAGATTGATCAGGGGACCATGCTACTTAAGTACTCTGCCAGTGGGCTACCACCAACCTCTGGATAATTTGTATCTGTCGGTCTTTACATTGTCTGACTTGGTCATTTATTCAGTGCCCTCCCGAGTAAGTCTAGCTGCAAGAAGTCTTTGGTGTTGATCCAGATTTCAGCTGAGGATCCTGCTCCATTCTGTGTCTTTTCTCTTGGGGTGTTTCCTGCTTGCTGCTGATGCTGGACCTTGGGATGATACACTGTGAATCAATGTCCAAGCTGTGTTCTACATCTGCAAAGATTAACTTTTCTTTAAACAGGCAGTTTTTGTTTGTTTGTTTTCAAGACAGGGTTCCTCTGTGTAACAGCTCTAACTGTCCTGGAACTAGCTCTGTGGACTAGGCTGGCCTCAAATTCAGAGAGAGCCACATGCCTCTGCCTCTTGAGTGCTGGCATTAAAGGTGTGTTCACCACCACCGCCGGGCTTCAGGCAGGTTTTTTTTTGACTGAACCTGTGTTGAGGCTTCTTTTATGGAATAACATTGTTCTTATGAATGTCTCTTCCTCTCTCTCCCTCAGCAGCCCTAGTGAGCTATACTTAGGCTATGTTAACACATGGCCTTTTGGATTGTTGAGATTTACAATCAGCTTGAATGTTTCAGGGTAAATGTATATTTACTGTAATAACTGCTATTGCTAGCTTTATGTTGTATGTATTTATATATTACACCTTTTTTTCTCTTAGAAGAATTAAGTTTGCCAAATAATTTTAGTTTGGGGCTGGTATGCAAGGCCCTCACTTCAGTCCCCAACACACACAGAAAAAAAAAACCCAAAAAACAAATTAATAGATCAACAAACTACTTCTGAGTGTTTGTATGTATGTATACTCATACCTGAACATTTCCTTTTGATTTTAATCTTTGTTGTTACTATTTTAAAGTTTAAGGAATATTTTGTTCTTTTCTTAGGTGTTCTGTACTGTTACATTTGATTCATTAGAATCCAGTATTAAGTCAGATCAAATTCTGACGGCTATAAAGTAAGTTATATTCTATGTTACATTTTGTGTTCTTTCAATAAATAGTCTTTTTTTGTGTTCACTAGTTCTTTATTCTATTGTCATCACTAGCAAACCCTTAAAGGGCATTGCTGTTCTGTTTGTTTGCTCTTTTGAGATAAGGCCTCAGTCTATAGCCCAGGCTGGCTTCGGGTTCATAGCAATCATCCTGCTTCAGCCTTCTGATGCTGGAATTATAGATATGAGCCACCATAGCTAACTTGGTTATTACTTTTATAGCCTGAATCTCTGCACACTTCACTTTCTGTCTACATAGTCAGAATTGCAAAGAATACTTCTCTGTTGGTGGACCATATTTTCTTCTAAATAGTTGGTTTGGAACACATTTGCAAAACATTCCTTCTGTAATGTGATTGTATTTAGCTTATGTCCTTAAAAACATTCCCCAGGACCAACTTCCCAGGTAATCTTGAACAAGGTTTGTATTACAAAAGAGTGAACAAATACATAAGAGTGAAGTCCTGGGTGCTAAAAATAAGCCAGAGACTATTGATGAAAACTGTCTGGTCTCAATTGATAATGTAATTTTGTGCTCCCCTCCTGTTTCTACAAACTCAGCAGTAAAACTGTTCATCTGCTTAAGGTAGTGTCTCCACCAGCCCCACTGCATCATACAGTTCAGAGATGTTTGTAGCTCAGTTGGTAGAGTGTTTGCCTAACATAATCAACATCCTGGATTCAGTCTCCATCATCACCTGAATCAGGCACAGTGGTGCACATTTGTATTCAGAGCACTGAGGAGGTAGAGGCAGGAAGAGCAGTAGCCCAAGGCAGTCCTCAACTACATAGCAAATTGGAGGGCAGACTAGATACATGAGACCCTATCTCTGAAGAGCACTAACAAAACACTTTTTTTTCTTTTGAAGAAAAATTGTTTCCACAATCAATCTAGAATTCAATTTTAAGTCCCAGCTGTAGGCAAACATCTCTCCCAGTCACTCAAGGTGCTGACGCAGGAGCATTGCCTAAGTGAGGGGTTTAAGACCAACCTGGACAGCATAGCAAGAGACTATACAAAACCAAAAAAAAACCCTTTCATCCTCTGTTCTTCAAGTTTTATGTTTCAGACCAATACTCATCAATACTCAGTTGTTTTTCTGAAAGCATAATAAATCATTTTTAGTGATTTATAGAAGTAAATTTGCTTATGTCCTTATAATGTTTTTAATATTATTCCTTTTTCTTGTAGTGGGGTAAAAGATAAAAATTTCATGCTGCACTATGAGGTGAGATCATTTTTCCCCCAAACATTTTTATTGTGAAAAATTTCTAGGATCCATCAAAACTAAAAGAACTTGATTTTGTGCCCACTCCCTTGGTCTTCCCACTAACATTTTATCATTTATATGTGAAGGCTGATTTAGCAATTATTTTATTGCTTAGAAAAGAGATGTAGATGAGTAGCTTTCCAGTCAATAACGCCCTGTTCCCAATCCCCACATGGTGGTTTATAACTACCTCTAACTGCAAGTCCAACACCTTCTGGCCTCCACAGACATCAGGCACACATATGCACAGACGTGCAGGCAAAACAATTATATACATAAGCTAAAAATAAATAGAGATTTAAAAGAAATAAATTTCCAACCCTCCAATCTACTTACACAGTACAAAGAACTAATTTTAGTAATGTAGTACATTGTTTGTTTCAGACATCTTCCAGACAGACAGATACATGGATAGATGATAGATACATAGAAGATAGATAGATAGATAGATAGATAGATAGACAGATAGATAATATACTTTTTAGAACAAAAGTGGGATTCTATTGTCTTGTAATTTGTTTTATTTTGGTACTGTATCTTAGGCATCTTTCCATGTCACTTATGTGTGTGTGTTTTGTTTTGAAGTTTCCTCCTTATGCAACCAATGAAACTGGCAAAGTTACTGGTATGAATAGACGAGAACTTGGGCATGGTGAGTACAATTTTCAGCTTGTGTTGTATTCTTAGAGAGACTTAGTGCATTTTGCTCATCGTTTTATATTCTGATTTAGGTGCTCTTGCCGAAAAAGCTTTGTGTCCTGTTATTCCCAAAGACTTTCCTTTTACCATAAGAGTCACATCCGAAGTCCTCGAGTCAAACGGTACGATATTAAAGTGTTTCTTTCCTAGAGAAGACTAGACTTCCTGAAGCAGTCTTCACCTTTCTAAGGCTGTATTGCCATGATTACTACTACAGAGTCTTAGACCTGCTGTAAGAGAAAATATGTTAAGTTGATCACACCGTTGTCTTGAATCTGTTCTTAGTAGCTAAGTTTTGGTTTTGGGGTTTTTTTGTTGTTGTTTTTGATTTTTGAAACAGGGTTTCTCTGTGGCTTTGGAGGCTGTCCTGGAACTAGCTATTGTAGACTAGGCTGGCCTTCAACTCAGAGATCCACCTGCCCCTGCCTCCTGAGTGCTGGGGTCAAAGGTGTGCACCACCAATGCCCGGCATCAGCTAAGTTTTGAAAGCTCTTTAAAAACAAGTTATTTCTCTTTTTTGCATGTATTACAATACACTTAATTTGGGTAACTTTATTTCTTTGCAAACAAGCAGCAGAGCAAGTTAAGCTTGGAGAGGGATCCATTAGGCAAAGGATAGCTGCCACATATCAGAGATGAATAATAAATAACTGAACACCAAGAGAGAAACAAGGCTAAAAGGTCAAAGTTTGATAAAACCAATTAAGTCCGTGAGTAAAGACTAGGTATCATCACTGAGGTGGAATAGGCAGGATTCTTCAGGGCTAACAGTCATGTCAGGTGGTCACAGATTTCAAGGCAAGACCAAAGTTAACTCAGAGTCTAAATTGAAGACTTTTCTGTTCTCCACTAGTGGCAACTGGACTTCTGGTGCAGTGAAAGAGCACAGAAATGCAACAGAAGTATTACTACTCCTTCTGGGAAGTTTCCTGTGTTCAGAATCTCTGCAGCAAAACTGCACAATAGAGTGCTTCATAATAATGGGGGTCCTGCCGGGTGTTGGTGGCGCACGCCTTTAATCCCAGGCAGGTGGATCTCTGTGAATTTGAGACCAGCCTGGTCTACAAGAGCTAGTTCCAGGACAGCCTCCAAAGCCACAGAGAAACCCTGTCACGGAAAACCAAAATAAATAAATAAATAATAATAATGGAGATCTTATGCAATACTCATTAGAGAAACTAAATTTATTTAAATTAATTTAAGTAACTACTTGTTGGCTAGTGACTACCATATTGTACCATGTTGCTATATACTTTGTAACTTAGGAGAGATTGACTTAAATGTTTTCATGTTATTTATTTATTTGTTTATATATTAGTGTGGGTAGACTTGGCAGAAACTTGCATATACAGCCACACAGAGACCAGAGAAGAAAATCATATCTCCCGCTCTATCACTTACCACCTTATTCCTTTGATAATGGTCTCTCACTGACCCTGGAGCTAGGCTGGCAGCCAGCAACCACAATGACCCTCCTGTGTCTGTACCTCATGGCACTAGGGTTCCATGTACATACAGCCACACACCCAGCCTTTTATTGTGGGTGCTAGGGATCCAAACTCAGGTACTCATACTTAACACAGCAAGCACTCCTACCCAGAGTCATCTCTCCAGCCCCTTAAGTGATTTTACAAAGAGGGAAGAAAAGACTATTGACTGTTTATGTTCAAGTGTAATATATTGTAAGGAAATGACACTAGTTGTTTTCTGCATTTTAAGAAATCAATATATTACAAGTGATTTTTTTTTTTTTTTTTTTTTACCTTTTTTCCTTTTCCAATAGGGTCATCTTCTATGGCATCTGCATGTGGTGGAAGTTTGGCATTAATGGATGCAGGTAAAAGAATGTCTCAAAACTTAGTATTTTACATACATACATACATACATACCTACATATATTTCATTAGCATAGAATATAAGATTTGTTTAAATTAGATTTAATAAGTCAAAATCAGATGATAGATTACCAACCCAGGCCAGACACAAGATAATTACAAACATCAGAAAGATACTGGCTGAAGTTCTTATTTTCAACTAAAATACTGAATGTTTGTAATACACTGAAAATTATATACTTGCCTTAGTGACCCAGTGAACTTTCTCCCCTTCCAAAAGTGGAGACTTTCCAGAATTGATTCTAGTCAATAAAGCAATTTCAATTAGTAAACAAAACCATTAGAATACATAAGACTAGCCAGATGTTGGTGGTGCATGCCTTTAATCCAGCACTCGGGAGGCAGAGGCAGGCGAATCTCTGTGAGTTCAAGGACAGCCTGGTCTCCAGAGCAAGTGCCAGGATAGGCTCCAAAGCTACGCAGAGAAACCCTGTCTCAAAAAACAAAAACAAAAACAAAAACAAAAAAAAAAGGATACATAAGACAAAGCAACCCTGTAATCTTTAAGTCAGTGTACAGTAGCCACAGAGAGAGTAGTACTCCAAATGTGCCAAAGAAAAACAGTTCACATTTATGCATACGCTTCCAAGAGCAATATCTGGCAAACAGTTACAATGCTACTCAAAAAGATAGGGCAGAGGCACTCAAAGGCACTAGAGAGGATACACAAGGATTTCTCTAAGTTGTCAAATTCTCAACACAGATAAGAAATGCACAAAGGAGGTTGTCTTAGTTAGGAATTCTATTGCTGTGAAGAGACACCATGACCAAGAAAACTCTTATAAAGGAAAAAATCTAATTGGGTGGCTTACAGTTCAGAGGTTCAGTCCATTATCATTAATGGCGGAGAGAATGGCAGCATGCAGGCAGACATGGTGCTGGAGAAGGAGCTGGGAGTTCTACATCTTGGTCCACAGGCGGTAGTGGGAGACTGTGTAACATTACTGTGTACTTACTATGTCACTTTAGCTGGCATTGGACTCAGAGATCTGCTAGTCTCTGCCTCTGGAGCAGCTTGAGCATATAAGAACTCAAAGCCACCCTCCAGTGAATGACATACTTCTTTCAACAAGGCCATACCTCCTAAGAGTGACTCCCTAAGGGTCAGACATTCAAACACATGAGTCTCTGGGGGCCATGCTTATTCAAACCACCACAGAGAATGAACCAAAGAGGAAATGAAACAGTCATGTGAGTATATGCTAATGTTACTTAGAAACATTAGCACTTAAAGCAGGCCAAAACTAAAAGTGCTAATGAACTTTTCCTGGTTCTAGTCAATAGAGGTTACCTCAAATATATTACAGTTTTCTATTGTTCGGCTTCATTTATTATTTTACAAATCTTTACTATGTGATACCTATAAATCAAGCACTGATCTAAGTTCTTGGGACATAGTGGTGAGCAAAACAGTCTTTTGTGTTCATAGAGGTTACATTTCTCAGCCAAGTCTCATATTTAAAAAAAAAAAAAAAAATCTAGGCTTCATGTTTTAATTCCAGCATTCCAGAGGCAGAGACTAGCAGATCACTGAGTTCAAGGCCAGCCAAAGTGACATAGTAAGAGCCTATCTCAAAAGAACTCTGGAAAATACTATTTGGAACATAAAAAGACTACACTCCCAACCCCCTGCCATCCCTGAGAGTTATGTAGTTCAGGGTAACCTAGAACCTGCTATGTAGACAAGGCTGACCGGATTACAGAATATGCCACCATACCATACAAAAAAAAATCTTAAGACTGTGGACAAAAATCCATCCAAGACAATGGACTCCTGATTCTCTTGCCTCTACTTCCCAAGTCCAGGGATTGCACGCATGAGCCACACCATGTCCGCTTTAAGCAAATTTCTTTGAAATGAGTTGAATAGGTTAATAATATGAGCACTGAATCTCTAGGAACAGCATATATACTGTGTCTATATAAGAAAAGAATCCATCATGGCAGGCAGAAGCATGGCTGCAGGAACAGAAATCTCAAAGAGCACATCTTCAACTGCAAATACAAAACAGAGAGCAAACTGGAAATGGGGCCAGTTTATGAACTCCCAAAGACTGCCTCCAGTAAGGCTAACCACCTCCCAAACAGCACCATAAACTGGGGGCCAGGTGTTTAAATACCAGAGTCTATGAGGTTCATCCAAACCACCCAAATGTCCTAAACAGTTTTGGACCCCCAGCTTGGGGCTAGAGTAATGGCCCATAGATTAGGAGCATATACTAGTTTTGTACGGGACCCAAGTTCAGTTTCCAGCACCCACTTTTGGCTTATAACATCAGCTCTGAAGGGTCTGCCCCCCCAAGTATAGCACACTCATACACATGATTAAAAAAATCAATCTTTACTATAACAAATCTCCAGCTTGCAGGTATAACTGAGTGATGCAGTGCTTGTTTAGCATGCAGAAGCATTTGCTTTCAGCATCCCCATCACCATAACAAACAAACCTGAGAGCAGGTTATGGAGAGCTTAAAGGATTCTCTTTTCTAGTTTTATTAATTTAAAGAGATGGTATTTCAGTAAAGAAATCTAGGAAACAGTTTGTCTAGGCAGACCCAGGCCCTGGCCAAGAGATCCAGGTGGAGGGAATAGGCAGATAAGATACTATTGTAGGAACTACTAGTAAGATGTCTCATTGATTAAGAGCACTTGATGCTCATGCAGAGAACCGGGATTTGGTCCCAGGACCCCATATGGTGACTCACAGTCACCTGTAACTTGAGTTCCAGCGAATCCATTACCCTCTTCCAGCATCCGCTGGCAGCAGGCGGGCACACACCTGGTACACTGACATACATTCAAGAAAAACGTTCATATACATAAAGTAAAATAAATAAATCTTAAAAAAGGAAAGACATCATTGCAGTAGTAGTTAAAACCAAAAGTATAGATAAGATAGCTTGGAGAGAATGAGAAGAGCTATCCATCACATTCCTTTGTTCTGAAATAAATTCCAAGTGATCAAAACTTTAAAGAAAAGAGAGAAAACAAAAGGTTTTATCAAAACTTGGAGAAGAAATGTCTTTGTAAGTAAAATCTAGGAACCATGATTTCATAAACTATAAAAATTCTACTCCCCCCAAACCCTCAAAGTTATCAAAGTGAACAAGCAAAGCAATAACACATTTTAATGTAATAGCAATCCACTGCTTAAAATGAAAGAGCTCCTATAGCATTAAGAGAAGAAAAGGTTTTCAAGAGTTCATACAAGTCAGTACAAAAAGACAAAGCAGAATAAAATTGTGCCACATTAAATAAATCAAAAAGAAACCAACAAATAATATTTCTAAAATAACCATTTTTACTTATTCCAGTTAGCAAAAATAAAAAAGTGGAGGGATTAACAAGAATTATCAAGTAGGGGCTGGAGAGATGGCTCAGAGGTTAAGAGCACTGGCTGCTCTTCCAGAGGTCCTGAGTTCAATTCCCAGCAACCACATGATGGCTCACAACCATCCGTTATGAGATCTGGTGCCCTCTTCTGGTGTGCAGATATATATGGAAGTGGAATGTTGTATACATAATAAATAAATAAAATCTTTAAAAAAAAAATTATCAAGTAAAACTTGAAGGGCTAGAGGCAGAAAGAACAGGAGTTCAAAGCCAGCCTTGGCTATGTAACAAATTCTAAGTCATCTTGGCCCACATGAGACCCCGTATCTAACACACACAAGCACACACATTAAAGCATAGGTCTTTAGAAGGTAGTTTGACAGTTTGAACAAGTATAAAAGCCCACGCCCTTTTAAGCCCTTTTAACTCTCCTATGGCATATCAGAATAGATGCTCAGTTTGGTGCATAGAGGCCTGATGATGGAAGTTTGATCCCAGGATCCCACAGAGTTGAAGAAGAGAACAGATCTCTAGAGTTGTCCTCTGATCTCCACATGCACACAGTAGAACACATATGTCTGCAGCACAAATTCTAATTGGTATTATTAATAAAAACCCAGAGACAGATATTGGAGTTAAAGCTGAAGATCAGAGAAGCAAAGCGGTACCAGCCACCAGAGAGTTCTCACCTCTACCAATGCTCAGACCAAAATGGCGATCCTGTCCTCAGACTGTATCTCTAGACTGCATCTGTCTCCACCAAACCTCAGACTACACTGAGATCCTGTCTCCTCCCACCTTATATTCCTCACTAATGCTGAGATTAAAGGTGTGGGATCCCAAGTGCTGAGATCACCTTTGTGTGAGTGCTGTTTCTCTTTTAGACAGATTCAGTCTTGTGTAGCCCAGGGTGGCCTTGAACTCACAGAGATCCCTCTGTCTTTGTCTCCTAAGTGCTGGGATTAAAGGTATATGCCACCATTGCCTGGCCTCTGTGGCTAACTAGTGTCGCCAGCTTTGTGCTCTGATCTTCAGGCAAGCTTTATTTGTTAAATCATAAGCAAAATATCACATGTGTCTATACTTACATACACAACATAAAGTAAAAATTTAGAAGTTGTGTTTTATCTGGGAGTGGTGTGCCCTATCTGCAATCCCAGTGCTTTTGAGGCAGAGGCAGACATACCTCTGTGAGTTCAAGGCTAGCTAGGACTACACAGTGAGCTCCTGTCTCAATTTAAAAATTGTTTTATATATGGGAGCCATGTGTGGAAGTACGTACTTCATATTGTAACCATAGCACTTGGGACATTATGGTAGGGAGATTGTGAGTTTGAGACTACCCAGCTACACGATAAAATCTTATGTTAAAATAATAAGGAAAACATGTACTTTAAGTATTTATTCATTACATGTATGGGGATTGGTATGCAATAGGTTTGCTACTAGATAAAAAGAGCAGGGTATCAGATAATGCATATATCATGTTTCTCATGAATAAGAATTTAAAGATTGTGTTTACAATTACAGTTAGTTGTATACAGAAATTCTCTAGAAGGCTCTTGTAATAGTACTGCCATGGGGAAGTAAACCAAAAGGTTCCGGCTTAGAAAATTTACCAAAAATAGAGTTCAAAGAAGGAACAAAAAGCAAAATAGCAGAGTATAGATAACTTAAGAGTTTGCTCTCAGGTTTTTGCTAAATATAGTTATTATCTGCCTCTTTACAAGTCATTATTAAAGGGTCGAAAAGAAGTGAGATAGGACCTTTTCAGCTTGATTTGCTGACTCAGAGAACATTATCGCCTGATATTAAAATATCAACAGAAGAATTTCAGCATGTTTCATGCTGCTACATGCATTATTCACAAACCTTTTGGTTCTTTTTTTAATTATAGGGGTCCCAATTTCATCCGCTGTTGCCGGTGTAGCAGTGGGATTGGTTACCAAAAACAATCCAGAGAAAGGTGAAATAGAAGATTATCGTTTGCTGACAGATATTCTGGCAAGTATATTCCCAGTTTGAAATATTTACAAGTGTATTTAAAAGTACATGCTTAGACCAGTCATGGTGGCATATACCTGTATAGGCTGAGGCCGAAAAAACAGTAGTCTTAGTCTAACCTAGATTACTTATCAAGTTCCAGACCAATATGGGCCATGTGAGACCCTGTATCCCCACACACATACACAAGAAAAAGAAACAAAGACAAATATAGAAGCCTTGGTCTAGAATAGTGATTCTCAACCTGTGGGTCTCAAAACCTTTGGAGGGGTGCAAATGACATTTTCACAGCAATCACTTAACATTGTAGATATTTACATTGCAATTCAAAATAGTAGCAAAATTATAGTTACAAAGTAGCAACAAAAATAATCTTATGGTTGGGGTTAGCACAATATAAGGAACTGTATTAAAGGTTCGCAGCATTAGGAGGGTCAGAACCACTGTGTTAAAGGGTTGAGTGTTAGGGAGGCTGAGAACCACTGTGTTAAAGGGTCACAATGTTACCACGTGTGAAAACCACTGGAAGAATGCTTGTATTTGAGTAGAGATGCAGTGTTTATTTTCTCTGTTTGCCATGAATTTTAAAGGATATGTATTACTATATACTTATCCAGAATAGCTCCCTTTGGGATAATTCTAAATTAATTTTTATGTATTTATTAGGAACAGGCATGAGCTAAACATAAGATGATATTTCCAATGACAAGCTTTGTGCACTGGAGCAGCAGCCAAGCAGCAGAGGTGGCTCTTGCATTTAACATTAGAGGATACAGCTTACTTCCAGACTAGCACTTGAAATTCTACAGTGACTATGGGTGAATTTTGGTTGTTTAAAACTTTACCATAATTTCTTGAATTGTTGAAGGGAATTGAAGATTACAATGGTGACATGGATTTCAAAATAGCCGGTACAAATAAGGGAATAACTGCATTACAGGTACCATCTTGTTTCATTTTCTTAAATATTTAAATGGTAGTTGGCCATTATTTACTTACTTATTTATTTGGCTGTTCTGTATTAGGCTGATATTAAATTGCCTGGAATACCAATTAAAATTGTAATGGAAGCCATTCAGCAAGCATCAGGTAAGTCAATGTTATGCTGTTCCCATTTTTGTCTAGTTTGTAATGGCACCTATAGCTTCCACTAAACTTAGTGTAGCTGACTGGAAGAATGTTTGCCTGTGATGTATTGGTTCAGATCCCCAGCACCATCAAAACGGGAAGAGTGGGGCCCTGTAACTTAACATGATCAAGTATTAATTATTGACCACATGACAGACAGACTACCCAAATGAAAGAACAGTAAAATTTTCATTTTTATAAAGTAAGCAACTTTCTGAGCTAGGAGTTTGGAGAAGTGAATGAGGAATAGAAGTGACTTTTATAATTGGAGTATGAAGAGCTTTCAGTACTAAGCTAAAGTTTTGATTGTACAACAGAAAAACTGAGATTGAAACTATTACAGATCACACTTACTCGATGGAATTACAATTTTTATTCTGTTGCTATTTATTTCTTCTAGTGGCAAAGAAGGAGATATTACAGATAATGAGCAGAGCAATTTCAAAACCTCGAGCATCTAGAAAAGAAAGTGGACCAGTCGTAGGTAAGACATTAAAATTATTACTGATAGCTTGATAAACATTAATGTTTAAACATTTGTTACTATTTTAAACCTTTTTTCTCTTAACAAAATAAAAATATTTAAGTACTTTTATTACTAAATACTTGCAAAGAAAATTCTTTTACAATCATTCATTTATGTGTGTGTACATGTCGGTGGGCAGCGCAGGCCACACTGTGTATCTGGAATCCGAGGCTAACTTGTGGGAAATTGATTCTCTTCTTTCACAGTGTTAGTCCTGGGAATGAACTCAGGTTGTCAGGCTTGGCAGCCCAGGCCTTGACCCACTCAAAAGATTTAAAATGTTCTTTCCATATAGAAATGGAAAAGTGAGAACATATATGCTTACTCGGATTTAAATATTATACTATGTATACAAGTATTAAAACATTACAATAAATACTTAAAATTTCTGTGTTCTCATATATCACTTTGAAAATAAATGTGTTTATATCGAAAGAAAACCAAGCTTTAAATTTGAGAACTTACTTTTGAACGTTTTTTTTTTTTTTTCAGTAATTTTAATCACAACAGATTTCTCCTATTTCATAATGAAAGATTTGTACATAGGTTCATATATCTTTGGCTTCTTTACATCATTGTCTGTATTACGTTTCAGAAACAGTTAAGGTTCCATTATCAAAACGAGCAAAATTTGTTGGACCTGGTGGATATCACTTAAAAAAACTTCAGGCTGACACAGGTAAACATTGTCTAAAGTTTGGGGGTATTATTAAATGCCAAACCATGTTTGCTATTTCATCTCTAATGTGTTACTCCAAAAAATAATATTTGAGAGATAAGAGAAAGATCAGAAGTTCAAGATGTCTTCCCTGTGAGTTTTCTGTGCAATTCTTTTGTAAGTTAGCAAATCTTTATATTTATTTATTTTCTGATTTGTCAAGACAGGGTTTCTCTGTGGCTTTGGGGGCTGTCCTGGTAGACATGGTAGACCAGGTAGACCAGGCTGGCGTTGAACTCATAAGATCCACCTGCTTCTGCCTCCCAAGTGCTGGGATTAAAGGCATGGGCCACCACTGCCCGGCTGTAAATTAGCAAATCTTAATACTCAACTATATTCAAGAAGGATAAAGCAGCATGGTGGGGCATGCCCATGATCCGAATATTTGATGACAGCCTGGAGGACAAACGTAGCAAGACCCTGTCTCAGAAAAGAGAAAAGATGACAAAAATCCATCATACTCCTTTCACATTTAAAATTGAACATTCCCAAATAATTTTTAGTTTTTGTAACTAAATAACTTGGGTTGTTAAGTACCCCTACCTGTGCAGTATATGCAGAGGCCAGGTGCATTCAGGGGCAGAGGTGGGTGCCTCTCAGTGAGTTCAAGGCTAGCAAGGTATGGGTCTACATATTGATTTCCAAGCCAGCCAGCCATGCCCACATTTATTTGAGACTTTGTTTCAAAACAAGCAAGTGAAAACAAGAGCATATGCAGAAATGGTCACATTTCTTCTAGAAGCAGTGTTGTGATGACCTAGTAGTTAGTTTGAGCTTGTTAAAAGACAAGAGACAGAGTGGTCTTAACCATTGTTAGGAGTGAGAGACTGAAATAATTCATTCTAAAGAATGAAAATAGTAAATTATGATGAAAGTGTTCTGCTATAATTTCTAGTCATAATTAAAGGCCTTAAAAATAAGCCCTGCGGGCTGGAGAGATAGATGGCTCAGCAGTTAAAAGCACTGGCTGCTCTTCCAGAGGTCCTGAGTTCAATTCCCAGCAACCACATGGAGGCTCACAGCCATCTGTAAGAGATCTGTTGCCCTCTTCTGGCCTGCAGGCATACATACAGGCAGAACACTGTATACATAACAAATAGATTTTTAAAAATAATAATAATAAGCCCTGCTTTGCTAGGACGTAGTTCACTGTTATATCCACGGGTCCTAGGAATATGCCAAGTACCTGGCAGGACAGCAGTGTGTGTTTCATGGCATGTGACTCACTTGGAGACAGTCATAGACACAGAAACCCAACCCAGCTGCTTCCAGGTTCCTCCCTGTTACTACATTCACTCTGTAGATTAGTCTCCTTTGGCATGAGCTTGATTTACATATTAAGTTACCTCTCTTTTGTTCCTCACACCACTCACCATGATGCTGGCTTTATTCTTAAGGTGTAACAATTAGTCAAGTTGATGAAGAAACCTTCTCTATATTTGCACCAACACCTAGTGCAATGCATGAAGCAAGAGACTTCATTACCGAGATTTGCAGAGATGATGTAAGTATAGATCTTAGGATAGATTTTCCCTATTTTTTTCCTGTTATCTTTATTAACCTAATGATTTATTTTTCACTTTACAGCAAGAGCAACAATTAGAATTTGGAGCAGTTTATACCGCTACAATAACTGAAATCAGGTAATTACAAATAAAGAATAGGTTTGCTTTTTACTGCAAACCCAGATTCAATTTGTATTTAGATAAATGTCAATAACTGTGTGTGGGGGGGGGAGAGAATTTATATGTAGATGGGAATGACTGTTTTCTCTCTTTATTCTTATGAGTGTGGATGCTTGTCCTGCATGTATGTCTACCCACCATGCAGTGAGTGCCTGAAGAGGATGTTGAATCCCTGGGGATTAGAGTTAGATGGTTGTGAGCCACTAGGCAGATGTTGGGAATCGAACCTGAGTTCTCTGTAAGACCAAGAAGTGCACCTAACCACTGAACTCCCCTCCAGCCCCCTTTTTGTGTTTTGTTGTGTTTATCATTAGTTATATATATATATATGTGGTGTTTTGCTTACATGTATATCTTGCATCATGTGTCTGGGGCCTACAGAGGCCAGAAGAGGGCATCAGATTCCCTTGAACTACAGTTACAGACAGATATGAGCAACCATGTTGGTGTAGAGACTCAAACCCAGGTGCTCTGGAAAAGTAGCCAGCCCTCTTAATTGCTCATCCACCTCTCCAGCCGACTCTGAACTTTTGATCCTCCTGCTTCCACCTCTGGAATGATGGGGGGTGTGCACCACCATGACTTGTTTTTATAGTGCTGGGATCCATGGGCATGTGGGCCCTCTACATCCCTAACCTCATGTAATTTTGTGTTTTAAGCTAATTTTATTTTCTGTGTCACTGTAGTTTTCAGATTCTTCTGCCAGAATTTTTTTCTTAAACCAAATTTTTTACCATATTTTCTTTCTTTTGGGGGGGTGGGGGGGAGGTTTCGAGACAGGGTTTCTCTGTGGCTTTGGAGGCTTTGTAGCTCTGTAGACCGGGCAGGCTGGCTTCAAACTCAGAGATCTTGGCTTCAAACTCACAGAGCTATGCCTGCCTCTCTGCCCCTCTGCCCCTCTGCACCTCTGCCTCCCGAGTGCTGGGATTAAAGGCGTGTGCCACCACTGCCCGGCCTGTATTTTATTTTTAAACCACATTTTCTACCAATTTTATTTTCCCCAAAAACTGTAACAAATTAATGTTTCCTTTTTATGTTATTGTTTCTATAGCTATTATTTGATATTTAATTAGCACATATTTTCAAGTCACTTTCAACCTCAAAGTATTTTTACCAGTTGAAATTATCTCAAAATGCTACTGCCTAAAAAAAAAAAAAGGAAGAAATTATTTAGAATATTTCTTGAAAGTTTTTCAAGACTTAAGGAAAGAGAATGAGATTTAACATTATAGGTGAAAACTAAGCAATAAATTGATTGTTTTCAGACCAGAGAAAAAAGGAAGAGAACTTTTCACAGCCGTCCAGTCATAGCTCCAGTTCCAGGAGATCTGGTGCCTTCTTCTGACCTCCACAGGCACTAGGCATACATGTGGTGCACAGACATACATACACTTACAGGCAAAACATTGATGCATGTTAAATCTAAAATGATAAAATGATATAAATTGTAAAGAGAAACATAGGTGAATATGTATTCTAATAACTTTTCCTTTATCTTTCTTGGTTATTTGAGTCACAAATATTTAAATATAGAGCAAATGTGACTTATTATTAGCGCTCTTATTATGTATGAGGTCCTAGGTTTAATCTCAAGTACTTTGAAACAGGAGAGGGAGGGACAGAGACAAAGAGACAGAGGGGGAGAGGATATGAGAGAAGGATATTTGTTATATAAGAAGCCAGGCCTAGTGGTGCACAGCTTTGGTCCCAGCACTCAAGATGCAGGGGCAGGCACATCTCTGTGAGTTTGAGGATAGCCTGGTCTACATTGAGTTCCAGGGTGAGAGAGAGACAGAGACAGAGAGAGACCGACACTGTCTATAATGTAGTCTAGAGTTTGGTTTGACATCTTGTTTCTGTTAAAGCATCAGTTCTTCTGTTTGTCAGTACAAGTACTTACTGTTTTAACTAAGCTGATGTCTTTTTGTAGAGACACTGGAGTAATGGTAAAACTGTACCCAAACATGACTGCTGTGCTACTTCATAACACACAGCTTGACCAACGGAAGGTAAAAGGACGGATGTGTGTCTGTGTGTGATGAGTGTGCACTGTGTGAGTACAAATGCATATGCTGAATAGAGGAGGTATAAGGTGTACTATGGGACTCCCCATCTTATTCCCTTGAGATTTGGTCTCTCACAACCTGTAGTTTGCTATTCCTCATCTAGGCCAGTGGCCAGCAAGCTCCAAGGATCTTCCCTCTCTCATTCCCTACAGCACTGGGGTCACAGTTACATGGGTAACTCTTCCTGGCTTTTTATACAGATGCTGGGAATTTGAACTCAGGTCCTCGTTTTCGTGCAGGTGTCCTCATCTTCTGAGCCATCTCCCCAGCCCAGAACTTGATTTTTTATAATTGTTAAAAATAATTACTACTAAAATTACCTAAATTGTTGAGAATTGTGTATTTTGCCTAGTAATAGTTTACCAGCCACTAATATTTGCAATAATGAAATGTAAAGAAATAGAACAGCTCTTTTTAAAGGACTATAGTTTGAATATTCACTTATCATGCTTCAGTTATTCATATGAAAGGACATTCTTAACATATTAACATTATTGAGTGAGCTTCGTCCCCAGCCCATGTTTATCAGTTCACACTAAATAGACATTTGAAGGGCTATACACTGCCGTGGTAACAGTAGTTATCTACATATAGTTTTGGGTGGTTTTCATTTTCTTCTGACTATATTTGTTGTTTTCAATCTTTGTAATTAATAAATTTCATTAGCAAAATAAATATAGCTGTTCACTTGGGGAAAGGTATTTACTTCTGTGGTTACTTTAATTACATATAACTAATTATTATTATTATTATTATTATTTTAGATTAAACATCCCACTGCCCTAGGATTAGAAGTTGGCCAAGAAATTCAGGTACTTGTGTTCAATATATTGTACTTCAAGTTCCAATTAGTAATTTTGAAGGAATAGAATAAGAATTCCACCTTTACAGTTGTGCAGCTGTGTAGACTGCCATTTGGAGATAGACTTGATAACATGATTAAAAGCCCTGTCATCTTTTAGCAACTGAGACTTTGTACTTGACTTTAAATATTTCTAAACTTACTTACAGTAATGTTGCTGGCGTCTAGAATTCTAATAATAAAACTGGCCCTGTCTTGTAGTCCTTTGTCATTAATAGAAGTTGTTGCTGATCTGGGAGTGTTTAGGTTATACCTGAGTAACAAAGGCCACGAGTTTACTCCCAGTCTGGGCTCCTATTGTTTAAGTAGCTCTGGGGAAAGATGAGGACCATGATAGCATCCCTCCACTAATACTTGTGCTTTACATCCAAGGGGACTTTAAGCCTGTTGTATTTCCCCTTGTTTGCCTTCTTCATGGAAAAGTGTGCTCTAGTGCAATGGTCCCTGAGTAGTAGAGAAAATACAAAGCCCTTATCTGAACTGTGACTTGGTCTTACAGTATAGGGGCCTAGAAATCATAAAAAGACACAGTTTATCAGAAGACACTAATTTGAAAACTAAATGTCTGCTCTCTCTTTTTTTTTTTTTTTTTTCTGTTTGGTTTGTTTTAGAAAGTAGCTTAAGGTAGCATTAAACTCAGGCCTCCTGCTGAATGCTGGGATTACAACAGGGAATTATGCTTTGATTCTTTTTGTCTTTTTATAACAGTTAACCAGATATTGAGTGTGTCTCTACTTATTACTGAGCTGTGCTTTTATTAGAAACATACAAATATTAATTACTGCTTTATTTGTACAATGTAAATTTAAATGCCTTTGAAATAACATGTCAACTTTAAATTGTTTCTTTTACATAGGTCAAATACTTTGGCCGTGATCCAGCTGATGGAAGAATGAGGCTTTCTAGAAAAGTACTTCAGTCTCCAGCTATAACTGCTGTCAAAACTCTAAATGATAGAAGCAGCATTGTAATGGGAGAGCCTATTTCACAGTCATCATCAAACTCTTCCCCTTGACTCTTTTTGGAAATGGTATTCAACAATGATATTCTGCAAAGCATATTTTAACAGTTCTGTCTAATGTGTAGATTTATATATAATTTAAATATAATTATTTGTTTAATACAAATAAAATGCTTATTTCTACAGGTAGATTTTTCTGTCCCACCAGCCAGCTCCAAAATCATGACATGGAGACTTATTATTAATCATGAAAGCTCTGCCGATAGCTTAGGTTTGTTTTCAGCTACCTCTTACAACTTAAATTAACCTGTTTTTATTAATCTATGTGGTACCTGAGGCTCATTCACCTCGTCTATATACTGTCCGCCCTGCTTCCTCCATGTCTCTCCACTCTGCCTTTCTTCTTCCCAGCATCCTCTGTGCCTGGTAATCCGCCTAGCTATTGGCCATTCAGCTCTTTATTAAATTAATCCAAGTGACACATCTTCACAATGTACAAAAAGATTATCCCACAACACATTTCATGTGCCTTTTTTATTTCAGGAGCAACCTACATTTGCTTTTTTTTATTTAGATTATAAATCAGTAAATATTTATTAATGAAAGTAAGCTATTTTTATATGTTAGGAGAGATTACATTTTGTCCTATAATTGTAAACTAATGAAAAGATCTTTTCCAATCCCTCCCTTCTCTTCATGTGTAGTAATGGCCATTCTCCCCTAGTCATCTTGGGGCTCACATGTGCCCAACAACTATGCTTGCCTACTACTGTTCCACATACTAGAACTTGCCATGTTGAAAGCCAGAACTCTTTTTTTAGAGAAATTATACATTTAATTGGCATTGAGAGAGCTAATTTGATTCCGTTTTTAATGGTATATCTTTCAGTCATAAAGCCATATAGTGGAATGAGTCTTCTAAATGGGATTCTTGTTAGAGATTTTTTTTTTTTCTTTTGGTTTTTGAGACAGGGTTTCCCTGTGTTAACAGCCCTAGGTGTTCTGGAATTCGCTTTGTAGGCAGGATTCAAACTCACAGAAATCCACCTGCCTCTTCTAGGATTCAAGGTGTGTGCCACTATGACCAATTGCTTTTTAATTACCTAAATATAAAAGATTATGCAACCATCAGATAATACTAGGTCATTCTTTGTGTGTATATAATTGGTGCTGTGTGGATATATATTCTTGGTGTAAGAGCTGGAGGAACCAATCAGATTAGTGATATAATTTCTAGAAATAACTGTCAAGTTCATTGCCATAATTTTTTTTATTTTTTTTTTAGATAAGGTCCCACTATGTAACCTTAGATATCCTAGAACTCATTAGACAAGACTGGCCTGGGACTAAGATCCACCTGTATGACTGTCGAGTGCTGAAATGAAAGGCATGCACCACCATACACTGCCCATTGCTGTAATTTAAACCATGCTATTAATCCACCAAAAAAGTAAATACTACATAGTTTAGACTATGTAATCTATTTACAAATCTTATAAAAATATGTGTGAATTCTTACTCAGGACTAATTCATAAGATATTAAATATCTATCGGTCCAAGCCAAAGACTTTTAAGGTATAATTATACATAAGTCAACAAACATTATTCTTTGTAAAATGCCATATTAGGCAACATTGATACCCTTTCTGAAGTAGTGAACATTAAGTGAAAATTAAAAATTATATTTGTTTATGTATTTGGTATATTGTTATTTAGTAATAGTGACCAACCACCATAATCCTTAGTTTAAGGGACAATAATCCTTAGTGCTTGGATTTCACAATATAATTTGGTTTTCTTAAATTTGCTCTTATTTTTCAAAAGGACTAATAATTTGGGAAGAAAAAAAAAAATCCAGTTCTTGGAACTCTAGAAGAGTGCTACAGAATTAAATGGACAACTCACTAGTACCAACAGCAGAAGCAACCTCACTTCTGTATAAACCAGGAACCTACCATTTGAACCAGAATTTCAAATCATGGTAGTTTTTCATAATTTCTAATAAAGCTTTTTTGTTTTTTGGAGACAGGGTTTCACTGTGTAGCTTCAGCTGTCTTGGAACTTGCTCTATTAAGCTGTCCTTGAACTCAGAGGTCCGCCTGTGTCTGCCTCCTGAGTGCTAAGATATAAGGTTTGTGCCACCACCACCAAGCCTTCTAATGAAGTTTATAATCTATGAAGCCTGTCATATGCCAAAAACTAATTTATAGTACATGAATACTAGTATTTGTAAATTGTTCTTTTATGATCTTTTTTTTTTGATATGTCATGAATTAGTGTTCAAATTGTGTGTGTGTGTGTGTGTGTGTGTGTGTGTGTGTGTGTGTGTGTGTGTATCTATTTATTTATTTAGTGCACTTACAAGCCATTGTGCATGTGTAGGGATCAGGACAACTTGTAGGAATTGGTTCTCTCCTACTATGTAGGTTCCAGGAAACAAACTGAGGTCATCAGACTTGACAATGATTATTACACCATATTGCTAAGCCATCTTACCTGTTCAAGTTACGGTTTTTATGTGATTATTTTCCTTCTCTTCCAAAACATTTCAAGTTTCTGGATCTAAGATAGGAACATGAACACCAGCAGCTGTCTTTGTTCAGCTCAGCCAAGCATCACATTCATTCAGTCAATATTTACTGTGGACTAAGCACTATCACATGTACAGGGGATATCAGCGAGCATAGCTGAAGTTCATGTTCACTTCTGTTTGAAGAAATCTGGCAGTATGCAAGAATATAACATATGAAGAAGTAGCAGGTGCTTTAAATTAGAAAGGCCTTGGGGTAAGAGGTTGGAGTGATCTGTCCTACTGCTGCAATATAGACTATGATGAACAAGATCAACTTGGGGAATCAAAGATTTATTTGGCTGACATAGCGCATATCACAGTCTATTGAGAAAAGCAGAGGTCATAAGGAATGCTGCTTACTGGCTTGCTCCCTGTGGCTTACTCAGCCTCCATCTTTTTTTAAAATAAATACTTTATTATTACTATCATTATTATATGTGAGATATAGATAGATGATAGATAGATAGATAGATAGATAGATAGATAGATAGATAGATAGATAGATATAGATACAGACAGACAGACAGACACACATATATATAAATGGGGGGTGTTCTCAAAACAGGGTTTCTTTGTGTATGTAGACCAGGCTGGCCTTGAATTCACAGAGATCGGCCTGCCTCTGCTGGGATTAAAGGAGTGCACTACCACCACCTGGTAGCCCAGCCTGCTATCTTATACCATCTAGGACCACTACACACACACACACCAGTGAACTGGGCCCTGGCATATCAAGCATTAATCAATAAAATGCCCCCATAGACTTAAGTAGAGGCCAGTCAGATGGAAGCATTTTGTCATTTGATGTTCCCTTTTCCCAGATGATCCTGGCTTGAATAAAGTTAACCAATAAATAAATAGCACCAAAAAGCCCAACCAGGACAAGTGATAAGAAGTGATTGTTTGCCGGGCGTTGGTGGTGCACGCCTTTAATCCCAGCACTAGGGAGGCAGAGGCAGGTGGATCTCTGTGAGTTCAAGGCCAGCCTGGTCTTCAAAGAGTGTTCCAGGACAGCCTCCAAACCTACAGAGAAACCCTGTCTCGAAAAACCAAAAAAAAAAAAAAAAGAAGAAGAAGTTGTTTGAAATGAAATGATCCAAAACCACTTAGGTGAGTAAATATTTAAAAAGAGACCTGAATGAAGTAGAGAAAGGAGATGTGAAGACATTTGAGAAAGAATTTCAGCTAGAGGCCTTCACTTTCATTATTCTGTGTTGAAAAGCAAAAATAACCCTTTCGTTTTATAAACCAGTTTCACAGTTTAGTCGTTTGCTTTTTATTAAGAATACAAAGGGCTGGAGAGATAGCTCATAGGTTAAGAGAATTGACTGATCTTCCAAAAGTCCTGAGTTCCCAGAAACGACATGGTGGCTCACAACTATCTATAATAAGATCTAATGACCCACATGGTGGAAAGAGAAGCAACTCCTTCAAGTTGTTCTCTGACCTCCAAACTTACACCATGGTACTTGAGTACCACTTCCAGGTAAATAAATATAATAACATTAAAAAAAACATAAACAAGTGGAGGTAGCAGGTAATATTTTCAAAACATTTAATCAGGCAAACATATCCTTGGCTATTTCCAAGGAATAAAAGGAATCATAAACAGTTTAACAGGCTTTGACAGATGCTTTCTCATGAAACTTGACAATAGGAAAGGCAGACAGTAGAAACTGGAAAAAATATACTCATGAGTGTCAGAGGTAAGAAAACAGTGTTTATGTCTCATGGGTGGGTATAATGTAGGGTTGGAAGAGGAAGAAGCAGTTACACTGCCAACTTTAGCCTGAGGTTGTGAGGACAATAGGCTCTGGGATCAGTGGAAAACTTGGCTTGGTGTAAGAGTGAATCATCGGGGACTGGAGAGATGGCCCAGCGGTTAAGAGCACTGATTGTTCTTCCAGAGGTCCTGAGTTCAATTCCTGGCAACCACATGGTGGCTCACAACCACCTTGAATGAGATCTGATGCCCTCTGCTGGCATGCGGGCAGAAGACTGTATACATAATAAATAAAATCTT